ATTATTGGGGGGGGATGACTTCCAGATTATTGGGGGGGATGACTTCCAGCTTGTTGGGGGGACTGACTTCCAGATTGTGGGGGGCTGACTTCCAGATTGTTGGGGGGATGACTTCCAGATTGTTGGGGAGAATGACTTCCAAATTATTGGGGGGNATTATTGGGGGGGGATGACTTCCAGATTATTGGGGGGGATGACTTCCAGCTTGTTGGGGGGACTGACTTCCAGATTGTGGGGGGCTGACTTCCAGATTGTTGGGGGGCTGACTTGCAGGCTATGGGCGGGGCTGACTTCCAGATTGTTGGGGGACTGACTTCCAGGCTATGGGNATTATTGGGGGGGGATGACTTCCAGATTATTGGGGGGGATGACTTCCAGCTTGTTGGGGGGACTGACTTCCAGATTGTGGGGGGCTGACTTCCAGATTGTTGGGGGACTGACTTCCAGGCTATGGGCAGGGTTGACCCCAGGGTGTGGGTGGGGCTGAGCCCAGAGTGTGGGAGGGACTGACCGCAGAGTTTGGTCTGGGGAGACCGCAGAGTGTGGGCAGGGCCCGGGCATCAGCATTTTTAAATCTCTGTGGTGACTCTAAGCCCCAAGTTGGGATTCCTGGTACTGAGGAATTCTGTCAAACACCTGCTCCATTCGGAAGAAGGCAATCCAAAGAATATTCTGCATCTAATCTACCAGCATCATTGCAACATACCCACAAGTCCTACACACTCGCTTTATCTATGTAACTCCCCATTAAACAGCGGCCGGATCAGAGCTCAACCTGGTCACAGAGCCGCCGAGCAATGGAGCCAGGTCTCCAAAAGCCCAATTGCAGCCCTGGCTGGTGTGGCTCAGTGGTTAGCACCGAAGGGTCACGGGTTCGACTCCCGATCAAGGGCATGTACCTTGGTTGCAGGTTCGATCCCTAGCCCTGGTCACAGTGCTTGTGGGAGGCAACCAATCAATGTGTCTCTCTCATCGATGTTTCTCTCTCTCTCCCCCCCTCCCTTCTACTCTAAAATTCAATGGAAAAAATATCCTTGAGTGAAGATGAACGAAATACACACATTCAAAAGTCCAATTGTAAAAGCTAGAGTCTTAACTCCCCCCATCTAGGTGCCTCTTTAGGGTTAAAAGATCCACTGAACAGGCAACGTGGCCTGTGAATGGTTTGAGACGATGGGTTCAGTTGTGCAAATTAATTATGTATCCACCATACACAAGTAAGTCTTGGAGTCAGAGGATTTTATAACTTTTGGGGAGGGTGTGAGTTAGCTAAGAGTCGCCTGTGGACGTATGTTGTACCTTCAGTTTCCTCTGTGGGACAGCCTCCCAGTCCACCATCCGGAACCAACGGTGCCGTTTGACGTCATCTGCTCCATTCTTTAAAAGAAACACGTGTCATTGTGTCATCAGGGTACAGAATTTTGACAGGGATGGGAGAGAAAATATTGTGAAGGATCTTCATGTTTTGTGTGTTTTTTTAGGCATAGAAACAAACAAAAATGTTGGCGAGGTTTTCAGTAATTGTCCCTGGAGTGTGACTTATTAGGGAAAACTCTCAGTGAAGTTAGGTTTGTTTTTTGGTGTTTTTTTTTAAAGCATTTTCCTTCCTAGTAGAAATAGTCATTACACCCACGTGTGTGCTAATCCGGAATAAAGAATATAGCATATGCCCTGGCCGGTGCGGCTCTGGGGTTGAGCATTAACCCATGAGCCTGGAGGTCACCAATTTGATTCCCGGTCAGGGCACATGCCCAGGTTGTGGGCTTGATCCCCAACAGGGCACGCGCAAGAGGCAGCCCATGGATGTTTCTCTCTCATCAATGATGTTTCTCTCTCTCTCTCCTGCTCCCTTCCTCTCTCTAAAATCAATAAAAACATATAAAGCATAACCGTGGGCCAGCCTCTCAACATACAATAAGACAGACAACAATTCCTAGATTTGTCACCCGTTTTCGTCTTGACAGTTTTCTTTGGTATTTATTACCCTCACCAGACACAGACACCGAGGTTCCCTAAATGATGACATTTGCTTCAGTACCGTCCAGCCAGGGAGTCTCATGAGGACGACCTGAGGGGTGTCCAACTTCAGAGATCTCAACAACCGCCCAAGATGACCTTCCTGGGTAACAAACTGAGCTAGAGTCTATCTGCTTCACTCTCCAAGTGGGGTGCTGATGGCCAGCTGGCCAACACCGATGTCATTCTCACTTCTGAAAATCCCTCCCCCCCCAAATTTTCACTTTTGGCAACCTTTTTAATCCATTCAGTGTTGAAATTTGTAAGACAGAAACTCATGAGTTCTGTAACAGAGGAACCAGTGGGTCTGAACCTGACACCGCATTTTCAAAATGTGTATCGTGATTTTTTTTTTAACGTTTCCATTTTAGTCTCACCCACAGGAAAGAAAATTCGCAATGACCGCAGCTGCAAAACGAAAGAAAGGCTGATGGGAATCGTGTCTCCTTTTATCGGATCTTATTATCCTGACAACTCTTCTTTTGCTATTGGAAAAAAAATATTTTCCATCCACACCTAAGCTCCACAGCAAAAAATCTGTTGATTGTTACCTCAAGGGAGGTTGAGAGAAAGCAAAAAAGACTTGGAGTTTACTCTCCAGTAGTTCAAACTCTAGTACAGATACTAAGATATTATAATATCTGCATAGATGATAGATAGAAACATAGACAGATGGGCAGGTAGCTAGCAGATAGATAGATACATGATAGATAGATAGATAGATAGATAGATAGATAGATAGATAGATATAGATAGATAGATAGATAGATAGAAAGAAACACAGACAGATGGGCAGGTAGCTAGCAGATAGATAGATACATGATAGGTAGATAGATATAGATTAGATAGATAGATAGATAGGTAGATAGATAGGTAGATAGATAGGTAGATGATAGATAGATGATAGATAGATAGATAGATAGATAGATAGATAGATAGAT